CGTTCGGCGACTGGCTGTCGCCTCGAGCCCAAGCTCATTATCACAACTCGCGAACAATTACAATCGGATTGAATAACTACAATTGTTTAATTACAGCTATAGTAGACTCTAGATTACAATATTGCGGGATTATCCAAAATTCCAAAGGCTCCGGTGTTCTTTTCATCTCCGACATATATAATATAAAGTTCTTCAATATAATTTAATAGACGATGTAACCGTAAAAGTATCCGACTATGAAATCAATATTTAATATTTCAACAGTTATTCAAGGATTTTTGTTAGTAAAATTATACCTATATATGTTTAATAAATATAATATAATTGAAATTAAGATATATGAAAGGGTCATACGTTTTGGTTTTTCATTCATTGTACCGCATCAGTTTATTTTTTAATCTACTAAGAAACGGAAATCTTATATATTAATAACTTTATTAAAAACTTATGTTTACGTGATTATAAATAACATATTAAGGAGTTCCAATTTTTGCAAATTCTTCGCAGCTCAGCTATCTTGTAGTAAATAGTACATGATATATTTTCATGCAATTAAACTATATAATAAAATTCAATTTTCCCAACGTTCTCTTATTGGCGATAATATTGGTCATCGTCGTAGACATGAACTTTTGCAAATACTCCTATTTTCATGACAATTTCCTCTCTTTCCCACGTGAGTTTGCAAATAATAAATAGGAAACTTGCGCAACACGTACAAGCCTCGTCGATCAAATGATCGTTTAATATAGCATTGATCTGCTTTAGATCAACATGATCAGAATTCTAATCTAAGTACATATATGTATATATATACAGAGATACTACAGTCGCTTTAAAACACGCGTCTGCCACCATTTTTTTCTTTTTTTTTCAAAAATTGCTTAATTCGGGATTTCTTAAAACTGACCCTTTGTAAGAGAATATGAACTCTTCTTTACTTACTTGGTCTCTTTGTTTAAAGCTATGATTATTAAATATTGGAGGTAATTGATTCTTTCTCTGTCTGACACAGGTCTCATGCTGTTATGTGATTTCATAGTTAGTCCAATAGTTGTACCATGGATTCTTACGTAAAGAGATTTACAATATTTAATATTGATCTTTACTTAGTAATTTCACGGTGTATATTTTCGTTGTATTTTTGGACATTTTTCAGTATAACATGTAAAATATATAACTAGCATAAACGGAAAATAATTCTGAAATATAAAAACTATAAAACATTGATTTTAAACGTTATAAGTAACATGTTTCTTATAACTAGTAAATTTTCAAAATTGACAATTCATTTCATTTGGTGAATGCCGATTTCAAATGAATTATGTTCACAACATTCTTGAAACGTACAATACTTTGTACCTTTTTATCAAAATAATGTAATCGTATGCAATCTAATAAACATGAAATCTTTCATGGGAACTTTATATCATTTAATTCTTATGGTAGTCGGCATATTTATGAAATGTACCGTATTACTGGTTCGTTGTTTCTGCGCAATCAACAAGATAATTAATTAAACAGTCTTTTCAGACTAATCAACAGTGTATTTCAGCATGAGCCCTGCTTTACTTATAATACAATTCGCATTTAAGAATTCTTTCGCAAAGATCGCACGTTCTTGTGCATTTAAGAATAAAAATAATATTATCCTTTATATCGGATTATTGATTATATCTTTCACTACGAGGTACGTACGATCATAGAAGATATTCATAGATACATACATTATACATATATGTATATAAGTCTTCGTTGACTATTAGTCATTGGTTCTAAACTTTTGTTATACATATTATCGCTTAGTTTCTTATTCGATAATTTTCAAGCTTCGTATTTGCTCGTAACTTCTTCCTCTTTCGATACTAGAAGAAAAAATCGTACTGAAAAACAATTTACCCTTCCCTCTCACCCGTATTGTTATCGAATAAAGAATTAAGCGTAATTTCCTGACTTCATTCATATATAACGAAATTAAAAAAATCGCTCGTATTTCGATTCTGATTGTGTCGTAACACGCTTTAAGTTATTATGAATATTTACATAGGTGTTCTCGAAGGAAGGTACACGAGTATAGTAGTGCTCGTGTCGGATCATTGAGCGAAAAAAGTTAGAAGATACAAGAACCGTGGTGATCGTAAGAAGAGTTAAGGTTACATTATCGATTTGCTTTCATAGGTGCCATAATATGTCATCTATAGATACGTACATTGTATATTAGTCATCTACTTAAAGCTAGGTGTCCATTTGAGAGTAAAACTATAGCGAGCTGCTCTCGAGAGTATCTCCCGCAAATGGATACCGCGTTGAGAATGTTTCAACCCTCTGAGAGCGGTCGCGTGATCGCTCGCTCTCAAGTGGAAACAAAATATGTATAAGTTCGATTAATACGTGCGACAGCATTCGTAGTTGGGCACTTGCAGCGAAGAAACTAAGGATACTATAGGTAATGCGCGACTACGCCGAGTGTCGTATGTTTCTATAGTCGAAATTACAATTACGCAGTGAAAATTACAGCGATAAACGCGACGCGGAAACATAAAACAGCGCAAGTAGAAAAATATTCGCGATTCAAGTTCAAACAAATTTTGTTATTTAGCATGGAAATATTTTCCATTGGTTTGAAATTATAAATTAGATTGAATATTTTCGAAGATATTAGCAATTACGAAATTATTCTTACATAAAGCTGTTTTACGGCAAAGGCGATGCAGAGATATGATTGTTGTTATATTTACAAACTCCGTTATTTTTATTTCGCATGTTCGTGTATCGTAGAAATCGAATTTTACAATGTGCAACTCTTTGCTTGTTTTTAAAAATAATTTGTTATTCGGTTGGTCGTTTATGTTCGCTATTACTAATAATAATACCATGTATAAACTGTACAATTTATGATATTTTACTGAATATATTGGTAAAAGTAGAAACGAAGCGGCATTATGTGTTACTCTGAGTAGATTAGAATTGAAAATGTTGATCGACAAATCGTAAATAATAATTTAAAAAGGATACATCATTAGGTTGGTTGGAAGAAAGGTGGCTGATCGATATTGACGTATTTAGGTATAATCTTAAAAAAAAATTTATTACGATTCATGCACCGTTTTATTTCATTGCCAATAAAGAAAATTAATATATGTAAATCAAATGAAACGCAATATAAAGAAAATTGACGAATAACCAAGAGATATTCAAAAATAATGCTAATCACTTTGTTGTTGTATCTTTATAACTATTTATTGGTCCCCGAATTTGACAATATTGTTTTCTATCGGTATAATTAAAACGAATAAGTTATCGTATACTAAAGTAAGCTTCTTACGTAAACAAGATCATAAGATTCGTACATTTTAAACGAAGATTTAAAAGATACTAATCAATATGCAAACATAATGTTCTCCTTACGCGTACAAGTCACAAGTATTTTAATGTTACAAAAATTGAATGTCAGGCTGAAGAAATTATGGCCCCCTTTTTATCATACTGATTGGTCCGAAAATACCTTGTGTAATAAATAATAAAATACTTCAATTAAATTTCCTACGAACCTAATGGATACGTTCTTGATTTTCGATGTTCAAGATAATACGGGCAAGTACTTGAATCTGTCGCACATATTTCACAATCTGTCGTTGCTGAGTAAGAATGGATTTCGATAATTGGTAATAATCGTGCAAATTTCAAATTTTCCCTTCGTTTTTATTCTATTGCTCCGATTATTCGTTCATATCCGATAAAATTCAGATTTCGATTTTACAAAACAGAAGACCGAGTGAACAAGTTAGAATAAGAAAGGTACCTGAAGTTCATGAGAATTATTTCGAAAAGTTATACTTATTACACATTACGTTCGTTTCAACGTAAATCGGTACGCGTGTAAAATACACGCATTATTCATAATTAATTTTAACTTGGAAAATTATTCATTTAGAGGAAAAGAAAGTTTAGGAATTTGCACATTTATTTAACATTCGGGCTGCAGAAATGTATCTTCGCTAGGTCGTTGCTTAAGTTTTATTAAACGGAAAGACGAACGGTTCACGTAACGTTATACTTGAGGTCATTATATGCTCTCTAATAAGGTGTGTAATATTGACTCTGCTCGATCTTTTTTTTTTGAACACTGATAAAAATAAGATTCTCTTAAACTACGGGAATTCGAATATAGAGTGTTATGTTTGTCGTGAGACGCACGTGATTAATTGCAAGAGTATAATTCTAAATATCTCGTTTACACTTTTATCACAATGATATACATATTTTACTCCGAGAATTTCAATTCGAACGTGTATATCAATTGTTTTTAGATATGTAAAACTTCATTATATCGATATACGAAATTGGAAACTTACAACTTTCGGATTCCCATCTTTTTCGCTACCTTTCTTCCTAATTATTAACTAATATGTAAAGAAATCGAAGAAATCCTCCGTTCATATCAAATGTAACGTAATAAAATACTTATATAATTAATATCTTGAATTTTCTTTTATATCCTTTGGTGTATTGTTCCTACCATTTTTCTTTCTTAAACACTTCAGATGTCAGTCATATTTTACTTAATATTTTCATCATATCATTCACATGTATTCTTAGCATACACGTTTAATCCAAACGATAATACGGTAAAATAACGATAAAAATTCGTAAAATCTCGTTAACGAGATAACAAAACGCATCATCTTCTAAAATAGCGAGTTTATACGACTCTTATACGGCACCTGAATGTTTTGATATCTGTGATCGATAGATTACGTAATATTAATTTTGCGTAAAAGACGTCTGCAAATAACACTGTTTTGGTACGTTGCACCGTGCTGTGAATCGTTTTACATCGATTGCCAGTTAACAAGGCCGCACGGATGTATGTGAAAAGGAAAGTAGGCAGATACAATGCCGTACGGCAGGCCACATTAATATGTCACATGAAACATTTACTACATCATAGAACGGGATATCTTGGAATAAATATCGATTTATCGCATACGAATCAACATTTAAAATGATTAGGGGCAAAGAATGTGTATTTAGAAAGAGAGAGAAAGAGAGTTTCTGATTTTAAGCGAAACCTTGCAGACTAATCATCTACGCAATTGATATTGTACGATGAATTTTTCATCTCGCCACGTTGTTCGTAATTACTTTCAACACGTATTCGAGTCGATTCAAAACGGAATCTCAATCTGAATTTCCTTAAAATTTCAAGCTTTTTAATTTCCGATATCGCGAATTTCAATCCATGTAAATTAGATTAAAAATTGCTCTGCAGAATGCAATTCAAAGGTAATACGTGCATGATGAAATTTTATCTCCGATATGTGCGCAAAGCCGCATAATCCGTATCACGGATAGCGATCGATAACGCTTCGCGGTAGAACATCTCGTTTCGAGTTTGCATGTAAAACTGCGAGATTTGAATATTATCGGCGGCAATCGATAGAATATACTAGCGGAACATTTTATTTCGATTTTACTGTCGTGTAATCAACAACTTTGTTTCGAGCTTTCGTGTAAAAAACCTTTTCTCTCTGGATTTTTCATCGTAGCTTCCGCTTGGAGCATTTTAATTTTGCACATTTTAATTTGCCGTACATTTTATCTCTCGTTTCACGTTTTTAAAATCGTAGTTACAAAGATTCCGATTTGAACTTATTACGAATAAAAGAGAATTTCGTTTCCAGCCATTAACATCGTACAATTGAGAACATTAAGAACATTACGAACAATTATTTCTGTGCGATTGAAAATTTGTCTTTCAGTTTACCTTTCTAAAATCGATGCGCGACTCGATTTTTCAAATCACACAAAGTAATGCGATCAGCATGTAGGATCATACGAGGAGCTCTTTCAAGAAGTCCTCGGCAAGCAAGTCCTACAAATAATCGTCCACTCGGTCGTTTTCGTCTGGTGGACTAGGCTCGCTGACGCTAAGTATAGGCAGACCAAAGTGTTGCACCTCGATGCTCGATTCGGGCGTATGTCTTGAGTAGTCGCAGCTCTTTGAGTGCCGTTCGATCCCGGCACGTCGATGGTAATGATGATAACGGGGTAAGCGAGCGTCGGCATCGCCAGATCGCCGAAAACACCTGCGGATTTTACCGAATACGTGGACTTAATCGATCGAACGATTTATTTACACGTCGCCTTTCGCTCGACGCAAATAACACAAATTAACAGCAGAATTCAGGAAAATAATGTTTCGTCACTCTAGCAATCTTATTTTGCATTAAGATCGAGTAAATCCTTTTCAAATAATTTTCTATCTTATCGATTCGATCCTTAAAGTTTCACAATGTAAATGTCCGATCTTAGTCAACAGAGTAATTTAAAAAAACAAAAGATCATATGGTGTTATTGAATTTCCTATAGGTGGACGTACAAAGAACATACGCAAGTCGAATTTACTGCCTTTTTCTTTTTTTTTTTAACAGAACGATATGCTCCCTAACGCTTTCTAACTATTTATGCCAAAAAATTATTAGTTTAGAAAATCCTTTAGCGTGAATATCACGAAGTTGTACTCAATTTCTTCTGGAAGACGTCCACTTATCAACTAGACGAAACGAATGTCGTTTCCAAATTATTGGATTGGCGTATTCAATTTCCATCGAGATCACCGGATCTGAAACCATCAGATTTGTTTTTTGTGAGAATATTTGAAAAACAGAATCTATTAAAAAGAATATTTGACAAAAGCTACTGTGAATGACTTGAAGCAAAGGATTCCGCGAGAATCCAATGACCCTTTAATTTTACCGCTTACGTTAATGTATCTACATAATCTACGGACACATGAAAAATGTAGCTTTAAGTATCGATTTTAACGTTGCATTACCAATTATTACTGCGCAATATCGAAATTAACTGTTTCGCAATGTTGTTCGAGAAAGACGATCGAGTCGCCGAATATTAATATTTTTATTCGCTATAGAATTTTGAAAGTACATATATATTAAAAAAGAAAAGAGAAAAAAACACATGAAATCAATAAACAAATAATTGACTTTTAAATCGTTCATTCTAAATTGTTTGTTATTTTATTACATTGTCGAAGGGTTAAACCATCAAGTTTTTTGGCATAAATAGCTTCATAGTATTATAGCTTGGGTATCTCATGTACATTTTTGCATATTGCGTGCATTGTCTTACTATCTCGCGCCTCTAAATTTTTCATAAATTCGTAAAAGTCCAACTATCATCAATTCTTTTACAATATTCATACAGCGTCACCTTATCTTTTCAAGTAAATAGTATCTCGTAATGATAGATCTTTATTAGCGAAGTTCTTATCTCTTTACCGAAATTACATTTTTCATCGATGCCGCTTGACGGACGATAAATAGTCTGCGGTATGTTATATCTTAGTGTGACCCTGAATGTTAACTTGGCGTGTGACCAAGTTTCGAGGGTGGTCTTTAAGGGTGAAAGATATTTGTAGGATGAGGCGACGTCAATTGCCACGACACGTATATTTAACGTTGTGGTGTGAGTTGGTATCAGACTGGAGATAAAAATATCGTGGGTCTCTTATGAGTTCACACGTGAATGCATTTAATATAACAGGCGGTAGATTTCGTTGTACTTGAACGTCAAATTTAACAAACGATCCGAACATCGATATTTTATCTTTCATTATATTACAAAATTCATATCATTTCTTATATTAGCCATTATTATTGGCTTCTAAGATATGTCAGTTACGTTATACGTACGTATAGATTGCATTATAATTTCACAAACTCCAAGAATCAGTTCGACGTCGGTGATTCGATCGAAAGGGGTGGTGTTATTCGGGTGAAATATTTTACGTATTTAGCGCCAAGTATAAAAGAGATTGCTTACCGCTCATCCATGGAAGCAGGTTGTCGTATAGGACACCGGACGTATTCGTGACTTCCGCCAGCTCGCCATCCGCCGAAACGTCGACCAACGAACGACGATGAAGACGTTATTGGAGAATCCCTGAAACATTTATTGCAATTTTGTTTAATAATTCATTCGGAAGTTTGTCACTTTTTTTTCATTCTTACTTCCTAACGTTTCATTTTCATTCTTATTTCCGGCAACGAGGAATATCCTTGACAAACTTCGTTTGTCCTTGACTCAATTTCTACCCTGATTTCGCAAGAGCTACGTGGTAATTACTTTTATATAAAATTCTTAATCTCTTTCAGCATTCTTTACGTCCTCGTAACGGTACTATGAAAAATACATGTTTTAATTAAAAAACGAACGAAATAAAAGAATATTTCATGACGATTGTACTCGTTCTGAGACAGCCTGGTGCAGCATCTCCTGTTTCTGTTTTAGCGTGTTTTATGTATTGTATAAAGCTGGAAAGTTGAAAGTGTGGAAGGAACGCAGGTCTGATTGGTCATAGTGCAATAAGCCGTCCTTCTCGCACAATCATTTTTATTGAATTTTTTATATCTCTGTTGCACCTTTTTCATGTCCTCTCATAATCTACTACAGCAGACGATGCAAGCGGAACAGCGTCGACCCTCATGTAACACGCAAACAATACGTATGCACGCTGTATTCCAACGGTACCATATTAATCTATTACCGTGAAATGAATTGCATAAGAAAGATCTCGGGTGGTTTACGTAATAATCATGGATATATACACGGCGTAATGTTATCATTCTTCGGGTTTAATATACTTATATAAGAGATTTTTCAATTAAGCTTCTATAAAAAAAAACATGCTGTAACATTTCGAGTGACCCGGACAACAGATTTATAATGGGGTTTTTTTTTTTTTAAGAGAGAAGGTTCTTGTTTCTTGTAAAGCGAATTTACATTTGCGTGCTGGATATTTGTCGCAAAAAATTGATAAGCAAAGTCAATTGCTTAAATACGAATGTTAATATTCGTTGCAACAATTTGCCGCTCTTTGAAAAGTGGACAACCTAAAGACACGTATCTTTGAATTATTCACAAGTGTTCTTAAGTGTTGCACACTTTTTATTCACGGGACGGTACATTTCGTGCTCCGTGTTATTTCAAAGTCCAAAAGAATTTGCACCTGTGCGGAATTTAAGATATGCTCGCGACGCAAAGTAATTGACAACTGTAATAAAATTGTCTTTTCGGAGTTGTCGATTTAGTGAGAAGAGATGAGACGTTCGTTTCAGCTTCGTGTAAAATTATCATGTATGATCGTGAAAAATGCGCACACAAAACCGACTGATTCACGGACAGTGTCTGGAATAAGGTACAAACTAAGATAAGACGAAGATAGGTGGTGAAACATTACAAACAAACGAAAAGTAAAAGTCTGCTTTTGAATAAATCTTCCTCATTGATTATTCAATATTTTCAACTGCTTCTGGACCAATGAAAAGAAGAGAAACGAGAAAAAGATCCGTTTCATACCGTGAATTTTAGTAAATTTGCGTAAGAAAGGAAATGTACTATCGTTAACATGAATTTCCAACTTGAAGTTTGCTACTTAAAAGTTTGTTAAGGTGAAATAATAAACAAACTTTGATGCACACATAATTCATCCACAAACTTCCTTACTTGCGTACAACTCTCGTTTACGATAGAAATGTAACAATCTGTTTTCGCTAGAGTAGTAATGCCGTATGCAGACTGTCTCATATTGATCTAACCAGTTATCTTGAATAATATAGCACACAGAAACTACAGAAAAATGTTTCAGATAAATATTATCAAAAAGTATATGATGCTCTTTTAAAAAATTCAAAAAACTAACGAACTCGGGAAAAGTCGATAAGAAGTTATTATTAATTGTCACGATTAAGAACTTTCGTAAGACGATGCAAAAATGTAAGAATTCCACGTAGGATTACATTTACGTATCTACTACGAATGAAATTACCTTGAAGACTGTAATTGATGATTCGGGTCGAGCAACGAAACGTCTGGATTATCCTTTGGACAACTCTCGAGGCTACTCTGCCTCTTTGATTCGGAATCCTCGCACTTCTCCTCTAGTGTTGATCTCAGGAAGGATTCTTTATCACCGTCGATGCCTTCCTCTTTCGAATTTCGTTGATCTTGTCGATTCGTCGACGCAAGTGGTAAATTATCTGCACTGCGAACCTTCCGGCACAATTTCGACGTTGAACCGTGCCGTCTTAAAAATTCCTGCAAAAAGCGGAACCGCATTGCAGAGAGGATTGGGAATACCGCTCGTTTCTAAACTTTCTTTCTCGCTTGCGTCACTCGTCGGAGATCTACATGCATTTTCCTGTCCCTGAAGACAAATGCTATACTTTGTGCTTCATCCTTGCGAAGGTCACTTACAGCAACTTTACATTAACTTTTTATTAATATACGTGGACAACACATATTGTGTGTGTATTGTTGTTTTATATATTCGTTAATGTTAGCGTTATTGAATTAATGGTCTTTTATTATATTAAAACACTCACCGTAGTTAGTGTGAATACAACGTGCAAAAATTAAATTAATTTTAAATATTCTACTTTTACGTTTACGTTCTTCGTTTTGCATTAAAATTGTCCCATTTTAATCATCGTGTCGGATAGTAATTTTACTCTGGGTTATAGATCTATCGGATTTCGCTGTATGGTGGAAGGAACTGATGCTACATCGAACAACGTCCTAAAACTAATTCCTTCTAGCATTTACTACAGTTATACGAGTAATTCAACAGTCCTTATCAACTGAAGTATTTCAACAGTCGAATATTCATTGTATTAACAAGCCTCGATATTCACTGAAGTTATCCTTAACGTTAATTCGGTATATTAATTTTCCACCAACTATATGTTTCCAGTAAATGTCTCATAACTTCTATATGGACTTTTAGATTAAATCAGTTAAAATGTCACTAATATAATTACTATTCTCACGTTACAGAGTTAACAATGTTTTAAAAGGTTTTATATATCATAAATACTTTTGTAAGGGTTACTGTATATATATTCAACACGATAGCACGATATATCCTAAATGCAGGAAACATTTTTCAACGAAGATCGTCTCACGCTAGCACCGTTTTATCTAAAATTATGCATCTATCGATTGATGTTGCAACTTATAAGAAAATACATACTCAGCGATACATAAAAATGGTAATCTTTTCCCGTTGTTAATTTGGTAAGATGAAATCGATTTGTTACGATGCAAGAAGTGACGTCAGAAGTATGTACTTACGATTAATCGGCATAGATCTAACAAGTATAATATGAAAAACTTGTCGTTAAGAAATACAATGTATCGTGAATAGCGACCGTGGTCCATGCTATCAGAAAATGAATTTAACGACTTCCTTACAAGTAAACCACGAACTTATTGATCAACCACTGAACTACACTTTGCCTCCAACTACCTTGAACTTTAACGTTTGACGTGTCTATTTTGTACAGTCTCTTTCGCGTTCGTTACATATTTCAATATCAGGATGCGCCGGGGATGGCACATTCAAAATTTTATAACGTACAAATAAACTATAATGTTTCCCTACATTTAGATTAAAACGAAAGGTCGGAAGTAATATTTTTATAGCTTTTAAGTTAGTGAAAAAGTTGCTAAGAAGGAAGCGTCGTATAGGATCGCTATCTAAGAATCATGCTTGGCGATCGATACCTGTTACTTTATATTGAATTATCTATATTTATTATAAGTTTCACAATTGTACTTTACGATGTGATTAAAATAACTATGTTTCTAAAATTTTAATTTACTACTTATTTACTTTATATATAATTATCTGTTCGGTATATTTAATATCGTTTTAATTTATTTTACTCCGTTATCATCGTTTGAAAAAAATACCAGAAAATAATTTATATTTATAATATCGATTCTAATATTCAGAGAATAAAAATGGTTAACGATAACTGCAATTGCGCGACATTTCCTGGAATTTTCACTAATTTTCTAGATAATTCGTTGCTCCTTCGTTTGTCGTGACTGCGAATTGACAGGTAGGTTGATACGAAGTTAGGGTTCGATCGAAAGTTTCAAGGACGTGGATCAGCTGGACGGTTAATTCACCCGGTGTCACGACGAAATTGGTCGAGTTGCTGCTTTCTCGTATTATTCGATTACATACCTGGGATAGGAAGCCAGCTACGTCGATGGCGCTGTTCACTCGCGGCCTCGAGGTTCTTGGCCAGCCCAAACCACCTCCGCTATCCAAGGAGTCCACGTGATGGCTCGACCAGTGCAGATGCTGGAAAATGTGGCAACGCAATTAGGACACACCGATACCGCTAATATCAATGCAAATTGCATTTTAATGTGATTTTTCTCAAGCGTGATTTCCGACAAGGCAGACAGGAACAGACAATTTGTATACCCACTAAGAATAGAATCTATTTTTTGAAACCGTTTCGTTAAAATAAGAAACGGCGAATCTTTAATAAAGTATATTTTCTTGTAACAGTGAGTAATACTTCTTTGTAATAGTGAGTTTAGTTAGAACGAAGTTCATGATTTTGTATTTTTATAGTTTTATCCGACTCTTGTGAAGCATAAATAGCAAAGTATAGTAACAATTATAAAATAAAGTGTTAAAGTATTATGCTTTAATAGAAAACTAAATCGATCGTACATGTGTATACCTTAATGCCCTGCACATTTGCAATTCATGGTGTCGTTTTTGTGAATTATTGTTAAATGTTTAGCAATAATTGTTCAATGAACATAATTAAATTGTGCATCTTATTAATACGTCTGATTGCATCTTATCTATTGTAGGTATGTAGTTAAATAAAAGTTAATTTATACAATTAATTAATTGTTTATTAGACAATGCTATTTTTAGTGGGTATCTTTTGAACGAGGATGTTTAGACAATTCCAACATTTTTGCGATGCACTGACTTTTAAACTAATTTCTATTAGTGCAATATCTGCCTTCTTTCTAGTTCACGAGTATTCCTGTTTTTTAAGGTTTTCTTTTTTGTACAAGACTCATAATCTATTACGTATATTGACTTTACAGTCCAAAAAATTTTCTGCTTTTATATCGTACAAATAATTACAGTTGTAATTATAATTGTAAATAATTTGCAGTTATGTAAAACAGTGCTTACACATTAACAAATGATCATTTCCCATTATTTATATCGATCATTATGCACGTATATCCTCGGATGAAAGTATAGTAATAGTTCTTCAATGCGTTTTTCAATAATGTAATGTAATATTAATACAATATTTAAAAAATGACCATGACAAATACTACAAAGATTGAGTTTACATCTTTGAACTCAATTAAGTGAATATGATTTATTAACCATATTATATTTAGAAGCGGGTTAATTAGAATATTAATTAAGGGATTTTATTAGCTAACGGTTCACTCGCGGGACGTAAGAATATATCTATGGAACTTTCCTTGTAGTATAAATATAATTTATGGGCAATATCATTAACATTTTGTATATGAATACAAAATAAGAAATTTACCAACGTTATGGATTTAGTTTGGTTTCGATGTCGTTGCTAAATATTTTAAATACCGTTAATACACAAAGCCAACATTTCATAAGCTTAATAAAATCATTTTTAACCTATAATATAAGAAATATTTAACGAATAACATTATAATAATATTAAATGAAACTTTTCAAAAATTACTTTACTTATCATATATTAGTTGTAAAATCGTTATAAGTAAAAATTTCATCCGAGTAACTGTATATCAATATTGTGCTTAGCTTAACGATGTATGTATCTTTCCTAACAACGTCGTAAGCGTTTCAAGTGGGCAAGCAGCTTTCCTAGTGATACAATAATCGCAATGTAAAAGCATTAGTGTTTGCTGTGCGCAATTTTTACGTCAATTCGTGTCGCTTTTTTACTCGCATCTGCGTTGTTATTGTTGTGCAGAAACATCTTTGCTAAATGTGCGAAACTTGTGCTTGCACGCAAACTGATTGCAGTAATACGTGTGACGAATCGAAGCATACTGATTATCGTATTGGTATTCCAAGCAGATCAAACAATATTCATGAACTGAAAGGAAAAAATCGATGCAAATAAAAGGAGAAATAATTGGCATATTAAAGTAAAAATATTTGTCGACTTAAATATTACACGAAAAATAGGCAGATTGTTTTCATAATCAATTTTACAATCAATCAATCAATTACAATACCAAATTGCTAATTTACATTTCTAATAGTTCTTATATATTTCGTTTTAATTTGCTTTTCAGATTAAATGTATATATGTATTTGTTTCTTGTTTAAAGTAATGTGTTTGCAGTACATTCGAATTTATGTTGCTTGAATTCAGGTAATTGGGCTAATCTGTACGAGACTTACATATTTCATACCATTATTCTTGTTCTATTTCATATTACCGTTCTTTTAATGGGAAGCCAACGATTCGTGGGTGCATCGAGTTGTACATATGAGTAAAGTAAGTGAGTCAGAAACGAACGAATTTACCTGTTTTTTCTAGCTTCGTGTGATCAGTCTTTTGCAGCGGTTTACGTCATTGGAATTTAATTAGGCTTTACGGATTACGTGAGGACATTCAATCGAATTTAGTACGTCTATATCCTGATGCTAACGTACTGGTTTCCTGTCTCTAGCAGATTCGTGATCTTGTTGAGATTTGGGTCAGGAAGCTATTACTCCAGCAACTTTAAGACAAGATATATCTAGCAGAGGCATCGTTCGTCCGAAGCAATATTCTTCCTATAAACGTTAGATTACCAACACATACGATTTCATGATGTTTTCTAAAGTTGAGCTTCATCTTTCTTAATACGTGTGCAGTATGTCGTATGCGAAGAGTACAACGGATAACGTTTTTATTATACTCTGTATATACATACACATATGTTGTTCAATCGTAATGTGAGCGTTGCCTTCCTGCTGTACGATAAGCAGAAATTCAATTTCATAACTATTGTGTCGTTTTATTGATTCTATCGTTTTTATATACTATCGATTTTTAATAAAATTCCTACTTGTTACTACTGTATCGTTTCTTAAATGTTTAACATTTAAATTTAAAGAACATTAACAGAACGGTGCTGACGATACGATACAAAATGACACGCACATATCAAATAGACCGTAAAATATAACATTGGTAGTTACTCGGACATAATCAGATCATTTTCCTTATATTCGATCGATTTCATTCGATCTATGATAGAATACGGTTGCTATATTTCCCTACTCGCAAAGATACGATAGAAAACCTAGAAAAGATACGATACAATGGAATAAGATTTGTTTTAATAAACGGAGAAGTAGGAAACTCAGAAACCGCGATACGTAAATAATAGAAAGTGAAAAGCGCTATTAAAGGTGCTACAATATTTGTTACATTCGAGTGCAATTAATTGAGGCACACGACCACTTGAAGTGACTCAAGCGTTGGTGCGAAATTTCAAAAATGTCTCATGTCATTCGTGTATTAAATACCGACTGTTTCCACTTTCCAGAACAATTTGATGTTTATATCGTATTTCAAGCCATTTTTACAGTTAATCTCAATTTTGTTTTATTAAAGCCAGACACACGATAAATATTGGAATTACCACGCATCGATCGATCGACTTTGGTTTATTTGCAATTTTCCTAACAATATTTCGCGGATTAGATCGTTCAGGAATTAAATCGTTGATCGAAACACATGAACACAACTAAACAAAGTACCTTTGAATTAGTGAAATACTAATCTGTTAACCAGGTCATCTCTTAATAAGACACTTAAACAATATAATATAATATCGTAAAAATTATTATGGCAATTTAAGTGACAAGTTAACTCGTTTTCCCTAGTTAATACGTTAATGAATGGAAAATGTACGTCATGTACTTTACTTTTTGATCAGATTAGTTTTGATTAAGCTGTAATAAAAACTTCTGCCTTTCTCCTTAAATCACTATCTAATTGAATAAAAGATCACTAAATTGTGTAATTAAACTGAAGCAATTTTATTCTTCAGAGAATCGATAATCGTGGAATTTTAATCTTGTACTTTAGAAAGTCAGTTTAGATCCTCTTTCTCAAATAAATACGTTTTAATCCCCAATCGTGATACCACACTTACGCGTATTAAATTTGAAAGTTTAAGTACTGTGGATGGTTGGTTATTAAAAGTTCTATGAATCGCCTTTGGAAGATGGAAATGGCTCTACGTAAGCAGATCGCCTGTACATACATATACATGAAACGTTGACAAGCGCAAATCAAGGTTGAGAGTAGCGAACATGTACCGAGTTGAAAGCAACAACCTTTTACGATTGGATCTCTATGTGTCGAATATGTAAATACATACATATGTATGATGTATCTATGGACGCTTTTTCGAACGACGTTTTTGATGTTACACTCGAATTCTACATCGGAGAATGCTAAATACGTCGGTTGAAAGTTCTCTTCCTCTTCTCGATAAAAATTTTTCACCGTAAAGTAGGTACTAAATGACTCGCAGAAACACGCGTTCTTTTAAAATTGCTGTGAAGCGAGAAAAAGTCGGTACTTTTTCAGTCGTGTGTACCAATCGAATGATTATTCTCATAACGATTTATTTTCTAAGGTAGACCTCGATTTTGATCATTAATTTTTATCGTTATCTGTAGTTATTCACATTTTATTAATATAGATGTATATCGGCTTGCCAACTTCGAAGCGTGCAAATCTTTTATGTCGAATAACATGTATTTTAAAGAAATATAAAGTATAATAGAAAGAAAGTAGCGTCTCGAATAGCGTTCAACACTTAGAATATACATGCACTGCAAAAGCATTTGGTTGAAAGCATTCCTACATATATCATAACGCTATATATGTATGTATATATGTATGTACATATGTGAAGGAACATTTTATTATAGAAACTAACCAAAGATATAAACCTAAATATTAAAGTTATATTAGAATTCGATTTTATAGATACGTATAAAATGTTATTTCCCTAATTTTTAACTTACCTGTATTTTTATCGATTTTATTGAAATTATTTTTATACTTTCATTGAAATTATTCTTGTTTCATCTTTGTGCAAATTACGAGGATACTTCTTAATAAAATAGGTAATAATTCATGCATGCATACATACATGTATGTATACACGTATCTTCTAGTGCTCTATTCTTATTTGTAAATTATAATGGTACTTTGGCAACGCAGTATTTCAGAATCGTAGGTCATTGAATATGAGTCAGTATGGTCGGAAGAAATGTGATGGAAAAAACATATT